ATAATTTTGTAATTTTGTTAAAGTTAAAGGTTAAAATGGGTATAAGAAAGGAATGGGAAGGGTGAAATTGGAAAAAATTGAAAGAAGATTGCATGAGAAATTGAACCGGTGGTTTTTCTGGTTCCACCGGTTCTACCGATTTTTACCAGTTTTATCGGTTTTAATCGGTTTTTATTGATTTTATCGATTTTTGACCGGTTTTGACCGGTTTTGACCTCAAACGGTTTTTTTATGTGAACCGAACCATTTTCATGACCGGGTACCGGTCCGACCGGTTCAACCGGCCGGTCCGGTCCGGTTTTAAAAACCTTGCACCAGCAATATGGTGCAACTAAACCTTCAAATCTGAATTTCGGAAAGAAAAAAAAAATTAAAATTTTATTTTATTTTATTTTTTGATTTGGTCGTTGCAAGTTATTTTTATGAAGAAAAGTACCACCTACAAAGAAAATGGGAAGCATCCCATACATATGGAATTAGTGTGACATGAGTGGAAGTACTTTGATCTAATAAAGCTACTTGGAGACCTAATTGTATGTAGGTATCTATCACTTGAAAAATGTTGAAGTTATTACTCTTTTCTGTCTTTTTCAGTTTATCTAATTTGATTTTTACATATATTTTAATTTAATATTTTTATATGTCAAATAGATGATAAATGAAAAAAAAAAATTTTCTTTCTATCCATAATTGTTATTAAGTAATTTCATCTAAATTAAATAATTTTTTCAATTATCATTGATGCTATATAAAACTGTAGAAAGTACTTCTTAAAAAACAAGGTGTGTACATCCATTCCATATATCTTTTCCTTTACGGCCAAGGTGGGTCGTTACCCATTGCCGGTGAACACCACAAGACATGAGTTGCACGCAATGACAACTTTTCCAAGGGGATTATTTAGTGGAAATTTCTATTGCAATGACTAAGCCTAACGAATGGATATATGCGTTTTTCAAGGGGACTATTTAGGGGAGTATTTCTTTTCATCAGTATATAGAAAGTTAAAACCAAAGCCTAAACCTTTCAACCAAGGTTTTAAAAATCGGATCGGTTATTGAACCGTTTTCAGGTTTGGTTCTCGGTTTAATCAATTTAACCGGTTGAATCGGTGAACCGACCGATCCAAACAACAAAGAAGATTTGATGAGAGGAGCAAGCTGCAGGCATGGATTTTCTAATTTGGTGTTGATAATTTTGTAATTTTATTAAAATTAAAGGTTAAAATGGGTATAAGAAAGGAATGAGAAGGGTGAAATTGGGAAAAATTGAAAGAAGATTGCATGAGAAATTGAACTGGTGGTTTTTCGGTTTCATTGGTCTTCATTGGTTTTATTGGTTTTGACCGGTTTTGACTGGTTTTGACCTCAAATGGTTTTTTATGTAAATCGAACCGTTTTCATCACAAGATATCGATCTGACCGGTTCAACCATCCGATCCGGTCCGGTTTTAAAAACCTTGCTTTCAACCTTTATAATTCGAACATGAAATGACAATTTTACCCTCATGTTTAGCCAATTGCAAAGATATTTTGTAAAAAAAAATTCATAAAATTATCTCTCTCTTTTTGGTAAATAAATCATAATTTCACTTGTTAGTTACGATCGTACCATGGGTGATTTGAACAGATAAGTGAAATGCTTTATGGCATCAAAGCCCCTCCCCCAGACACATAAAGACACAAAATCCCCGACTTAATATGTTTCTAGTTTGGAGAATTATTCTCTGCAAGACAGAATATATGGTGTTGCAATGTTGTAGCAACA